AAAACTATGGGTCTATCTCGATGTCTTTCGCTGTTACAAACAAATGCACAAAGACATAATACCCTGACCATTTCGTGGTGTGGGGTATAACTAGCGGTCATAATATTTTTATTAAAAGTCAAAATAAATCATCTTTTATGCATGACCTAATCTGCGTTTTTGCTATTTTAAGCAACCCACTCTAATATTGTCCCCAAACAAACACACACACATTATTTTTTATGAATGATTTTTGATTGTAATATGTTATTCGTATTTTTTTGTTGATCCGCTTGCTTGCACAATGTCTAAGCCAAATTTAATAATAAAAATTGCGCCACAGACGCATATTTCCTTAAGATGCTATCTACAACAAAAAAATTGTAAATAAAAATAGATTTTTTTTGTGTATAATGCATAGTGTCACGTTTTTTCTTTGTTCGCAATTTTTTCTTTCATATTTTCAGAAATTTCACAATGAATCTAGGAAATAATTGAAAAAGGTTTGCAGTTTTCTTATAAGGGGTAGGAAAAGAATCTATTTGATGCACTGAAATTTGTCGCCTAATGATCGATGTTGTAAGCCGCCTTTGATAAATGACTGCATTTTTCTGGCACTGATTATAAAATTATCAAAACTCATATGTGGCCAGATACCCAAAATTAACTGCGACCGAAGAGCCATATCAAATACAAACGTCATATTAACAGCCTGTTCCACGATCTCGAAAGAAAATTTGTGCGAACGAAGGCTACTCACTCACTTTCGCATAAGAATGCGTTCCACTAACTTTCGTTCTTTCTTTCGCATAGCCTTACGTGATTCAGTGTTGCAAAATATTTTTTGGTAGAATTAATCGCGAAATAAGGAAAAAAAAGCGCCAAATGTCTAATTTAAACGCGAAAAAGCAGCAGTGGCTCTGTCTCAACTGACAGTTCAGTTGTAAACAAATAAATTGTAAATAAACAAACAAAATAAAATTTCTAGTGATTGTGTTCAGATTATTTGTGTTCTTAAAAAAGAAAAAAAATGAATATTTCTGTAGCCCTATTTTTTATGGATGATGAGGAGGAGGTTCAAATTGTGCCACGGAGGCATTTAAGAGATGCTTCGAATTTATTTGAAGTACCTAACAACCAGTAAGTATGATTGTATTTTTACATTTTTGAAATAATAAAAAAATGATTTTTTCTAGGTTTGTGTCTTCCAGTGGTCTTCATGGGATTGCCTGCTGCTTCCAAAAATTGACACTCCTCTGGCGAACTTAGGATTCTCCCCCATATACTCAACTAGTGCCCGCAGCTGTGTAGTTTTTTCGTGCTGGAATTGAGAAAATAAAAAAATATATATTTGTTGTTCACAGATTAAATTGCATTTATTATTTTTACTTACATTTTTCTTTCCATTTTCCATCAAGGAATGTTTATGTTAAAACAATTTTCCTTAATTTTTATCATTCGACAGCAAACACACAAGTGACTGATTTTGACATTTGTGTTCGCATGCGTAAGAAAGAAAAAAGATAGTGGAACGCAAAATTACACTGAAACGCTTACGTTTGCGTTCGCTTTGATTTTCGTGCAAATTTTCGTTCTGATGGATTTTAGTGGAACGGAAATCAGCTGTTTGTCGTGTAAAAGTTGTGCGAACGTGTTCTTTCGACATCGTGGAACAGGCTGTAAATGTTTTTTTCTCATTGAGTAATTTACAGCTCTGAAAAAGACGACATAGATGATAATTAAGGCATGTATAGATGGGTTTTTGACCACGATTTTTTAACGAAGTACACTTGGCAAACAGATGTTTTTTTTTGTCACAAAAATATTAAGGACGGTAAAGATCTTGATTATTTATATTTACTTTATCTTTTTTTAACAAATTTAATTTTATTCTGATAAATGATTGCATTTTTCTAGCACCCAGGGTAATTAACAAAACTGATATGTGGCCATATACCGCAATATATAATTGGCAGCACCGTTGTAAAGGAGTAGAGAGAGAAAGAGCGGCTTTATTTAAGGGTTATCTAAACCGATTATGGACTAATCGATAAATATTAGATATTTTCGCAAATACTATATATAATTGGCAAGGAATAGAGAGAGAGAGAGAGAGAGAGAGAGAGAGAGAAAGAGCGACTTTGTTTTAGGGTTATATAGACCGATTTTTGACTAATGAATTAAAATTAGATATTTACGTAAATACAAGTGATTCGGTTGCATTTCACAGAAATACTGTTTCTACGTTATAAAAAAATACAAAATAACAAAAACTTGGAAGAAATGTCAAAATAAAATAAGTATAAATACCACATAACTCAGGTATAACTACAAACCCCTTTTTTAATAATTTAGAGTAATCTCTTTAGCCTGTTTCTGTATGCTGAATGCGAAAGAAAAACACCATTCCAAATATGTTTTTCAAATTTCGAATTTAGTCGAAAATATATACAATTAATTTGTAATACTGTTTATCTTTCGAGTTTACTTTCGCATCATCATAGAGAAACGAGTCCTAAAGAACTAAAGCCAAAATAAAAAATATATTCTTTATGTCATTTTTGACATTTTTATAAATCAAAAGAAATTGCCCCAATTCTCCCCAATTGCCTCAATTTTTGCTTTTTAAAAACATTATTTTCAAAATGAAAAATGAAAAAAAAAAAATTGAAATCTAAAAATATTAAATGGTTTATATTTATTTAATATTTAATTCCAAAACTTTCCTTAAATTCTTTTTTTATCAACAATTTATTTATAAATGGCAATCTAAAATATGTTGGGATATTAAGCGAGTATATGTAAATATGTTTAAAAATATACATTTGTTTATGTGCCCGCGATGATAACAATTCCGTGCTGAGTGTCTCTGTCACTTGATGAACTTGTTTAGATTATTTGTTTTGAATTTATTGTTGTTGTTGGTTTCATTTTTTTTTTTTTTTTTGGTTTTTGCTTGGATGGAAACAAACGTTTATAAAACAAATTAGCAATACAAAATCAATGACGTATTATTTGCTATTGCTGTCATGTAGTTATGTTTGTGGTTTTCTGGAAACACAGCTGTTTAATAGAAATATTAATAGTTTTGTGATAACGTTTTTTTTTTTTTTTTTTGTTGAACTTTGTTAGTTTGTTATCGCAAAACAAGATTGGTTTGTTTTTATTCGAGAATGGTTCATTGGTATATTTTTAAAAACAAATGAAAAAAAAAACATCTGATATTTGGCCAATGTCAGAAATTGTCTTTTTTTTTTTTTTGTTAAAAAAAAAAGACTAGAATTTTACTAAGAATAATAATTTGCTCCAATAACTAGTTCATCACAAAATTCTTCAGAATGACTGGGCATTTATTACAAAATTCTTTAATAACTCCTCTACCAAAAATACAAATACCGGTTTCTTATAGCATGTGAAAAATACCGGTTTAAAACGTTAACACATTTCGTAGATACCCCTTATATTTTTTCAAACACACAGACAATTCGAAAAGTTTTTAACGGTATTTTATTCTATTTTTTAACACCTTGCCCCCAAGGTGTAATTAAACTTAATACGATTTAAAAAATAAATACATAAAGGGTGAGATAAAAATCGGCAACAAAGTCAAATGTCATAATTTTTATTTTAATAATGACCTGTCACTGGAATAATTTTAACAGCTGTGGATTAGAAACGACAGCAGTTTGAAGTTGTTTGCAGTTTTTTCATCTCACCCTGTATATAATTTTTTTTAAACAAAATAAATCTTAGAAATGAAAACATCACTTTATAGTTAAACTAGTTTTACAAGCATAGAACGTAGTTGTACATTATTTAAAATTGGCGGGGGAATGAGCAAACGTCATTGTGTCTCTCAAACAAACTACTAAATGTTGCCCGCCACTATCACCAACACCACCACCACCACCTGTCATTTCGGTCTATTGAATTAAATCACTATTCAGGCAAAATAAATAATTGGAGAGACCCCCATGCGTTTTGGGCACATGAATGCATGCATGCCTTGTCTGTCCTAATGCCAAACGATGCATGCATTACCCCCCAAAAACACACACACATGTTTGTTTGTATTGCATTACAATGACAAACGGTACGGCGGCGTTGCCGTCATTGGCAATGTAATAAAGGCGCTGAGAGATGAAGGTGTTTGTGAGAGAGAGTGAGCAAGAGCAAGGGGGTAAAACCACACATTACTAACACTGCCTTTACACGGTGACATTTTTTAACCATGCCATTTTTTTTTGTTGGTAAAAGGTGTTGAGAGACAAGGATAGAAGAAAAAATGGCACGATAAGCCACCGCACAGGGTTACATGCCATTTTCTTTGCATTTCTCTTTTTGATTCTTCCGAATTTTTTATGATGTTGATATTTCATATCGTTCTTTTATTGTAATTTTTGATGCGTTTCTTTTATTGTGATGTTATGTTTTTAGTGATTGAATTGTATAGTGAATTATATGAAAATTAATTGGATGTATTAAAAAGTAAAAAAAGAAAGTTAAAATAAAAGTTAATAATGCAATATTTAACACCTCAATAACTTTTTTCCATCATTTCTTCTTTAGATTCACACATTTAATTTTAAATCACTTCTTTATAAATATCTGTTACAAACAATTAGCTCTATACGAAATACTGAATAAAATAAAATGTCAGAAAAAATGCCAAGCACTATTATCGTAAAATGCCACCGTGTAAAGGCGCGAAGATTTACGCAGAAATTTTAAAAGAGAATTGATAAAAATGCCAGCTAAAAATTGCACCGTGTAAAGGCAGTGTAACTCATAAAGTAAAAAACAATGTCAACCGTAACGTCGACTGAGGGGAAAACTCTCGGCAGCGCTCATGTAAAGAGTGAATGACAGGTAAAACAACAGCAACAACATTTCAAGATTACAAAAGATAAAAGTGTTAATATTTATGAGGAAGTAAGGTAATAGAAAGATCTTGGAAATAAAGATAATAATAAAGTGAAACAAAATATGATAAAGGAAAGCCAAGAAAGAAAAAAACTTACCTTCAAAAGACACAGCTTAAAATATCCTTTTGAAAATGCATATGCCAAGCCTCTTAGCTTCCTGGTGGTGTATATTAGGTGTTTGTTTTTGAAGAAGCCCTTGGTCAAAGAAAAAACAAGAAGAAACACACAACTTACAACAACAACAAAAAGAAGTTTCACCACTTTCTTTTCCTCGGTCTTGGTTAAAAAAATTTTAGCGCGGTTTTTTTATTTTTCTTTCAATAGATGACGCTGCCTCTGCTGCTGCAACGATGACGGGCGATCGCAGTCGTCGCCCGCCGCCTTGTTATTTGTTGTATATTATAACTAAACAAAAACAACAATCAGAATCACATAAACACAGTTAATTTATGTGGATGAGTAAGTGCGAGTGTGTGTTTCTTATTTTTTAACTTGTTTTCCTCCTCCTTCTTCTCCTCTAAATTTTTTGGGCTGGCTGGCCAATTGTAAAAAAGGCAAATGACGACGTCGGCCACCAAACACACTGACAGCGTCGACGTCCACAAATAACGACGACGACGACGGCGATGACTACTACTATTGCGATGTTCACACAGTTAAAAAAGGAAACCAGTATTTTCTTCTTTCACTTGAGGTTGGGTTTTTTTCCTCTGTGCCGTTGTTGTGTGAGAAATTTTTTCTTCTTGCCTTCGCTTTTGGACGTTATTTTTTTGCTATTTATGGGTTTTCACTTAAATTCATATGTTTTAAATTGAATTTTTTTCCACTTTGAGTTGTTGTTGCTGTTGTTGGATTCATACATATCCAAAAGATACTTCTTTAAAATTTAGGCAACCACCAACACGACCACGACAACCACAATGGCAATAACGCAGAGGATAACGAACGAAACGACAACGACGAAGACAACGAATTTAATAAAGACAATGAAAATCTTATGTTGGGGCGGCTTTTATGGGTAGTCTTTAAATATTTACAAAGAATAGAGTGCAAGTTTTTTGTTAAATCGCTACTAAAAACATTCACTTTTGCAATGTTTAAAAACATTTTGGTATTTCACGGTTTCTCTTGATTATTCTTCACTACTTTTTTTCGGGGCTGATTTTTTTTCCAGCTTGATTTCACTGCCTTCTTTTTTACATTTTAACTTTTCTCTTGCACAATTTTCACAAAATTTCACTTGAATTTGCAATGATTAGGCATAAAATTGACATTTTTCTTCCTTTTTTCTTCTTCTGGTTAAACAAAGACACGCAGCATTTACCCGAAATCACCAAAAACACATCTTAAAGCGTAAAAAAGAAGAAGCAGACTAACTGACTGACTGAAATTGACGACGTCTCTTCTCTCTGGGCCCGTTAACTTTTTCGTATTTCTTGTTGTATGTGGATGGGGATGGCGGCGCGTTGTTATTGTATTTTTACGGCACTGAGACAACGTAAACGTCAAAATGTATTTGGGGGGCCTGTGACGTTAACGTCCCTGTCAGCAGAGCAGAGAACAAAGAAATTGTCATAAATTTCCCAAAAAACAAAAAATCAAATGAAGCAAAACGTTTTTGATTAGTCTTTTTTTCACTTTAAACAAAATCTAAAAAATTATTTAGATTGTTTTGTTTGTCTTTTTTTCATTCCTCTTATCTTTTATTTTTATCTCTTTTTTCTGGAAGGTGTAAAAGAAATGTTGATTTCTCAATTGCCATTTGTTGTTGTTTTTGTATCTTAAAAATATACACAAGCACAATTTACAAAAAAAAAAAAAGATTCTCAAGATTTCTTCACATCATCGCCATCATTCCGTTTATGTGTGTAATATTTTTTTCGTTTTTTTTTTTTGTATCACCTCTTATGTACTACTTCACTTCAAAATATTTTTTTTCTTTTTTGTTTTATTATAAAGTTGAGTGTGATCAATGATTGTAGTATGTACGTTGATGTGTGTGTTGAGTGCTGCTCGTTGATTTTTTCAATTTCTTGTTCTCCTTGTATTTTTTATGTTGATTTTTTGATTTGGCCTACTTTATTGTGAAAATTTCCAACTCATTTTCCATTTCCCATTCACTGCAATTGCATATTTTCGTTTTGTGGTTGTTTCTTTTGCGTTTTGATTGTTGCGTTCAGTATTTTTTTATTATTAAATAATCTATTTCTTATTATTACAAAAAAGATGATAGTATAAATTTATTCTTTCTCTACTCTTGTCTGACTGATTTTTTTAATTTTTTCCTTTTCTCACACACAGACACGTTCAAACAAGGGATCTACAGTGCGTTAGTTTGACTAATCGATAAAGAGGAAATCGATGAAACGACTTTTTGATGTAAATCAAACAATCGATATTATGTATTTTCTTTTAATTTCATGGCATGTTTACATTTGAGTCATTTTTGCGTCTTTGCACTTACATATCAGGGCACTATCATGGCAGGAGAATACAGGTAGATGCATCAACGCTTGGGAGCATTGATATGTCAAAAAAATTTAAATGTTTTTTCAAATATAAGTAGAATTTTTATGTTTTCTTATCCTACGTCATTCGGAGGCTATTATAATTCGCGTTTTTCAACAATTTTTACAAATTTAAATAACTTTTCATTCAACATTTTCAATTCCAAAATTGGTTTGACAGTTCATTGTCCCAGCAGCTGTGTCGACGCGTCTACCTATATTCTTCTACCATGGGCACTATCAGAAAGAATGGGTATTGTTGTCACTTTTTAATCTATGTGTATTAACATTTTGCATATGATTATATATATTATTGCTATAACACCTTAAAAAATAAATTAATTCAGGGCATTGCTACTAATTGATTTTATTTTTTTATTTTCTGGAAAACAGCAAAAGTGTCAGTCAGCCGGCCTTTTAGGTATACACACGCATGTTTTCGTTTACTTAGAATTTTCAAAAATCATGGTACAATGACAGCTTCCAGCTTCCAGTTAATTACATTTTTTCCAAGTATGACCGACTTCTGTTAATTTTGGGTATGCATTTATTGTTTTGAAAAATTAAAACAAAATATTTTCAAAATCAAAGTTTGGGAGAAGCTTGCATTGCGGGACGCGGTTTAAAGCTATTAGCCAGTTTTGCCATGTAACTGAAAGATCAAAACATATTTTTGAAAGAAAATCCAGGCATTCATTTCTCGACCTACTTGACTCATTTTAAAAAAGGAGGAAAAAATATCGAATAAATAAAAACAACTTGTTGCATGTAAATTTGACAGGAAGCGGGCATAGCCTCAGGGCCATGGTAGAAGAATATAGGTAGACGCATCGACATAGCTGCTGGGACAATGTCAAACACAAGTCAAACCAATTTTGGAATAGCAAATGTTGAATGAAACACTATTTATGTTTGTAAAAGTGGTTGAAAAACACAAATTATAATAACCTCCGAATGACGTCGTATAAAAAAACATATAAAAATCTAATTATATTTGAAAATACATTTGAACATTTTTGACATATCAATGTTTCTAAGCGTTGATGCATCTACCTGTATTCTTCTGCCATGCTCAGGGCTGTATTTCTGTACTTTTACGAAGCTCCTTATTGTACCATGAAAAAAATAATTGTTTGAAAATTCCAAAAAAAAATTTTTCTCCAACGATCGACAGAAATAATGTTGAAAAATGTATACAAGTATCAGAAGAATATATTGAGGAAAAACTTTCGTTTGTATTTGTGAGTTTCTGTTTACAGCTGTTTTAAAATGTAAGTAAACGATATACGAACACTGTTGTCTATTTTGGCACAGACTAGAATTGTTGAATTTTCAAGAGCAAAACTCAGTGTTGTATTCCGAAATATGTCGATTTATCAAATCCTTGTTTTAAGTTTTTTAAGTTTAAATTTTTTGTATGACGAATCATCGTAAATTTGGGCAAATTTCGACATAAGTCGAAAAAATACTTAAAATACTTAAAAATACTTAATCATATAAGAGTTCAGTCTAAATGGGCTATTATTTTGTCAAAACATTTTATAATTTATACAATATCAATGCTCCCAAGCGTGCATCTACCTGTATTCTTCTACCATGAATACTGGCTTTTTTGGTGTAAATTTGGCATTACCAAGGTGTTTACACAAGTTGTATTTTACTACTACGTAAACATAATTTTGGTCATTTTCGTCCCTGTCAGGCATTTTCCTAAAGTCAGACCCATGGAATTCTAAATTTTGAATGAAAAATTATTTCAGTTAGTGACATTCATTGAAAATCACATCTACCTCTTTTCTTCTACCATGTGTGTGTACTTTCCTTAAACAGTTTACGCATATGTACCCTACCTTTTCTTCTTTCTTTCAACCATTCTTCTCATTTCTTGCCTATCTCTCTCACATTACCCCACTTTCATTTCATTTTCATGTAGCTACCTCATGTTCCCTCATTCCACATACTAGAAATCGATAAATACAAAACGATAACAAAAACGATTACGATTACATGTTAAGTGTGCGTCAAAGACACATCACTAATTATCAAATCCTATAAAAAGGTGGAGAACACCAGCTACGGCTATTTATCTCGAGTAGTGGGGTTCGTAGTCCATTCCAGACGCAAAGACAACGTGAGAGTTAGGCCAGTGATAATAATTTTTTACGTGTTACTTTTTATTGTAGATTCTTTACAAAATATAAAAATCAAGCAACATGTCTCGCGATACTGCATCCAATCAATTGATTGACTACAAGAATTCTTTGAATGTAAGTATTCGGAAATTTGTTTTTAGTTCTAAATACTTTTTAATATTTCTTCCATTTCACAAAATCTCTGTAATTTTCCATATGACAAGACAAGAAAACAACATACCACAAAATAACAATAATATAATAATATATGTAACACAATAGAAGCAATTGGCCTAAAAGAAAGTAAAGGTAGTTGAAGAAAGCCCAAAGAAACAATATCGTCTTGCCGGCTTTTGTTATTACCCCTTTTAATTTTGAGAAGGGTGGAGTGGTTGACAGTTGATTGACTTTTGGAAATGTTAAGAAATTGCTCTGTAATCATACAACAACATTTGTACGCTTAGTTTTGTGAATTCGAAAGAAATGAATGGTAATTCAATAAGTTCACATCATTTAAGGCGGCTGTAATTGTGCTGCTAATTTTCGTGAGGCTGTTCACCTTTTTGTTATTTACGTCTCAAAGAAATCATTAATAAATACCTAGTATATATGTACATATGCATATTGTGTTTGTGTGCATCTGGTGATATTAGAGTGCTTGCACTTTGTTATTGTAAAAAATATTAATATCTTCAAATGTATTTGTAAACTCAATTCCGGCAGGGAGTTCAAGGTCCAAATCGTTTTTGGACTTTTGTTATTTTGTGAAAACTCTTGAAAACTTCACAGGATTCAAATTTATAAGTAGGAATATGTTTCTAATTGGCTAAGATTTTCACAATTCCATCCAGAATGCATGCATTTTAAATTAGGACTATATTGTTGTTTGTTTTTAAGCTATGACAAACAGATTTGACGCACCTTAAATAGTTGAAACTAATTTCATAATATTTGCAAGTAATGTCATGGATATTATCGTCTGCTTTACCATTTTGCTTAACATCTAAAATATATTATCTGATAAAATATATTAGCAAATATTATCTATTATTGTATGATATGACATAGGTACCTATCAATATCAAATGATAATGATCAAATGATAATTCTATTAAAATTCGCCTTATGTACAATTGTAGTTATTTGTAATATTACGACTAAATTTCCACGACAGCTGTTTGTTGCATATTGTGCATGGACACATCTGCCTGGACAATGAACTGTAAAACCAATTTCGCTATTGGAAATTCTGAATGAAAAATTATATAAATTTGTAAAAATTGTTGAAAATCCATATTTAGTTTAAGAAAACCAAAAAATCTAATTATTTTTGGACAGAACATTTTAAAATTTCTGACATATTAATGTTCCCTTCCATGATATTGTGGGTAAAGTGTTGATGCTAAATATAGAATCATAGTTTTCTCCCTATAATTGATAAGTGGAACGTTTATTGATTATGGGAGATTAAGAACAGAGTCACATAAAACATTTTATGCAGACATGACATTATTGGGTCAATACAAGGTAAATTTTCCAAGAAGCCAATATGCTTTCGTAAGTCTATCTGTTGCTTAATCCTCCATAAATCTTGCAAAAATTGCGCTGTTTTCAAAAAAATCATTTTTTGGCGTTTTACAATTTTCTCTGGACCTCATTGCTACAGTTTTTGTGCCATAAGTCTTAAAATATATTCAAAATTGGTTTTGACATTTCTCATACATTTACTTTTTATCCCTCCCGGCATTCTAGATCAATGTTCAAGTGTTTAAATGCATTGCTATACTTTTTCAACCATTTCTAAGGTTATCTTCAACTTTCAGCAAGCTCTATCTAAAACACAAAAATAAAACAACAAATTATTTACCCCCTTAGATTTTGTAGTTTTATGACGGCGAGGTGGAAAAACAAAAATCTAATCTCTATTTGAACGATAACACACAGTAATCTGTGTGTTTAGCATTAACTTTCAGCGCTAAAGAAGAAGTGTGTTTCTAAAGTTGAGAAATTTCTTTGAGCAAAGTTCTGTTGGCACCAGCGTGTATATATTTTGTTTTATATTCTTTTTATGAAGCTGCATAAATTATAATGTTTAATTAGTTAAGATTTTTTGAGTTTGTTTTGTTTATATTATTGTTTATTAACTATTTGTTTTAATGCAATCCGAAATTATTTTATGGTTAGAACAATTATCTTGAAGCCAGTCAAGTGTGAAGAATTGACTCACTATGTAGAGATGAGTGCAAAGGATGTTAAAGTCATACTTTAAAGATTTATTAACATTTTAAGTAGGTTTTCTGAATTAAATAAGCAAATACAGTATTTTTTGCTTACCTGCACAATCAAAAATTGCACGACATCTTGTGCAGCAATGCCCAAAATGCAGGTAGCTTCATTGCATTTATCTGCACAATGAAGCAGGTATCTTTAATTTTACTTACGTTCACAAAAAGTGCAGTTATCTTTAATTTTCTATTCGTGCACAACAAAGCAGCAGCAGCATAACCATCTTTTAGTGTGGGAGAGGAAGCGAGAATATGTTTTTAATGCATGCTCTTTTCTTGTGTTGTTATTGTTTTTGCGAATACAAAAACAAAAACGAAGTGGTAGTTTTTAGTGTCTTTTTTGAGTTTGCAAAAAATTTTCTTGTGCAGATAAATACAATTTTTGTAACCAAATTAAAAAAAATACCAAATTTTCGAGGAAGGAATGTCCAATGTGCAGCTATCGATTGGGCACTTAAATACAATTCAAATAAAGGGATTCAGAAAAAAATGGCATAAAAAAAGTTTTTTGGTCTGCAAAGGCCAATGCGCAGCTAATGTTGATGCAGGTAAATAGAAACCACTGTAATTGTATTTTACTTCAACAAACGCTGTCACACAATGACTCACAATTTTGCCGCCATTTTTTTGGTATAACTACAAGGCCCTAGTTCGTATCGATATGGGATTTAAATGTACATATTTTTATTTTCAAGACTTTATTTAAAAGGAAAATTAACAAATTGTTTAAAATTTAGTAAGTTTTAATTGAAAATGCCACAATTTATATTAATTTCGTCATTACTCTTGTGATTCAGTTTGCCGTATGTGAGGGAGAGAGAGAGAGATGTCAAATGATTCTCTGCCATACCGCTGCTCATATAATGTTCACACTTAGATTCTTTCCATAAAAGCAGCATATTACCTAGGTGGACATTTTAATGTTTGGATTAAAATTAAAATGTTTTTATGTATAGTAAATGAAATAGAAAAAAATACATGAGAAAAAAACGTAAAATAAATACTCTCTTGCAAGAAACTATTAGGTACGCATTTTTCGATATCATAAAGGGAAAATCGTCTACTCTAATAAAGAGTTTTATATTCTTGCAGTTCTGGAACGGAGGAAAAAATATAATAAATGTCTGATTCTAGAGTAATGGTGAGAATACATAACACGCTTTTTCGACTTATGTCCGCGTCTGGCTTTTTCGGAAAAGAGCAAAGGAGCGTAGGGCCAAAATCGAACCAAGTTAACCTAAAACTCCTTTGTTCCTATACGAAGAAGTCAGCCGATGACTTAAGCCAACCAAAAAAGCGTTTTATATATTCTCGCCTTAATTTACAAGGTAATTCACTTTTTTTGTCAAAATTTAGTGATTTAATAGCTTATATAGTGTTCATACGTTGATTATTTTAAGGCAGCGTGTTTTATTAATGAACTTTTTAAATTTTGGATTGAAATTGAAAGATATTGAGAAAAAAATGGACAAAATGTATATATATTAAATGATTATTATAAATTACATGAAAAAAGTACAATAAAAATTAATAAATGTCAAAATATATTATTACACAGCAATTTCAAAGGATTGATATAATTGTTTTTAAATCGAACAATTTAAATTACTATAAAACTTTTATGACTGCATGAAAATTGTACTATACGCTTTGTAATTGCATTTTATGAAATCCAAATTGCAAGTTTTTTTATGTTCTACAGAGGATGACTAATAAGCTCTGCGATGCATTCAAAAAAAAAAAAACTGATAAGATTTTAATAATACTCTTAAGGTCCATTAATATTTTATTATAAAGCCAAAAAATGGCATTTGCAATATCAAAACTCAAGTTAACCTTAGAAATTTTCTAGAAAATTTAAAATTCAAAATAGGTTTTTTGAACTTGATTACCATTCTTATCATTTTGTTGATTTCTACCTAATCGTATGCTAATCTTTGAATTTTAGATGTAATAGTATTATTTAGGGTGTTTAGGAGTTCGACAGGCAATAAATCCATTAATACATATGTAATAGTTTAGCATATCACAAATATATAATTAATAACTTTATTTATGACTTTTATTATTGAAAATTTAGACTCTTAAAATTTGTTTTGTTAAATTTACTTAATTTAATTAAATGTTTTGCAACCATTTTTGTTTTTTTTAGACAAAAACAATTTCAAAAAACATTCTGACTTTGTCCCTAAGCTCTTTTCACTTTCTAGATACTGGAAATAGAATAGCAAACGTACATGCAAAATGAACTTTATGCTTTTGCTGCTTATCGTTTGCATTTATAAACAATATATTTATTTCCACACATGCATTTAAAATGCCATATTCCAGAAGGAATTCTTTGCTGATAATATACATATTATATGTACATATGGGTTTATCGTTGACATTTTGAAAGACACAAATGAAATCTATTTGTAAAGATTATATGAAAAAAAATGAAGAACGTGAATCTTATTATCAGAAATTGTCATTTCTCGCAAATATTTACCAAGAGTTTACACAGATGTAAAGCTGTACAGAAGTTAAAGAGCTCGTGTAAACACAGGGTTAAGGTTAAGATGAAAGACGATGAGAGCCATATTCTTTATTTCTATCCTTTTATTTTATAAAAAGATAACATTTTTTCTGTCCTTTAACAATTTTTTAGAAATGTCGAGAAGTTATTGGTATAATGAGGACTTTTTAAAGCCCTAATGGTTTTATTGCAACAATGCTTATTACATTTCCTATAAAAAACCAAATGCATATATATATTAATAATTACCATTGGAAACCATGGCAACAAGTAATTTTCCGCTTACAGTATTTTTTGACACATCTACTATTATTTCATTTATCTAACACTTT